TTTTGCAATGACCCCTGACAGCACCTCTTTCCAGTTAAAGGACCGGTCCCATATGTGGAAGGTGGGAAGTTCCGTACGTCCTTATCAGCAGCAGGGACAGTCTGTTGTTCCCACATTTCCTCCTCCAGCTGAATGGACACGAGAAAGAAAAAAACAGATATCTATGAAAACTGGAAGCTCATGAGACTTTACAGGAAAAGGGCCCTTTTCTAGACTTTGTGAAATGTAAGCATAACAAAGAATATACGATAGTTTGAGATGTGAGAGGAAATTGTAAAGACAGAATCAATGTTTGACTCCTTTTTGATCAGAAACAATATTTGGAAAATCACAACAAATGGTATAAAAACTCACCAACATCAATGACTTCCCACACAAATGGCATTTCTGGGTGAATAAAAAGACCTATTAAGACAAAACGTTTTAAAAAAGCAAAAAGATAGACATAACAATGTGTAAAACATTTTACTAACCCCTTCAATGTAAAACACAACAACAACAAAACCTGTTTGGTGTGAAATAAAAACACACTCTTCTGTTCTCTTTTCATGTTCCTCTGAGATTTTATTAAGTGCAGCTGTTGTAATCAACACACCTCTGTGTCCTTTGAACTTGACATCTCTCTTCAGAAAACCCATCAGGTTCCTTGTGTTATTTAATCAAAGAAAACTAAAACACATTTGGGGTCAAAGGATTTGCTACAGGCCGTGCAAATGTGTGACTTCAAAAGGCGTTGGGCTTAAAAAAACAGTTTGAGATAAGAGCACAGGGGGTTTTCGGTAAGCAGGAAAGACTTTTTTTAAATCGCAAAGGAGGAAAGTAGCTGGGTGGGGGGTTATTAGCCCATCACACCTTTTAAAATACCTCTCTTTTTAAGGAGATTTTGACACTTTAACAGTGCGCGTTAACCCAAGCAATTGTTTTTCATTCATCATTTCGTCCTAATTTCCATTGCAAATTTTCACTCAATTCTTTTGCAAACGCCTACAAGATTCCATCAGCTGTGATAAAAATAGTGCAAATACTCAGTTATTCATAACAGCGGGCGCTATGAATGTGTAACAATATTTGGAAAATCACAACAAATGGTATAAAAACTCACCAACATCAATGACTTCCCACACAAATGGCATTTCTGGGTGAATAAAAAGACCTATTAAGACAAAACGTTTTAAAAAAGCAAAAAGATAGACATAACAATGTGTAAAACATTTTACTAACCCCTTCAATGTAAAACACAACAACAACAAAACCTGTTTGGTGTGAAATAAAAACACACTCTTCTGTTCTCTTTTCATGTTCCTCTGAGATTTTATTAAGTGCAGCTGTTGTAATCAACACACCTCTGTGTCCTTTGAACTTGACATCTCTCTTCAGAAAACCCATCAGGTTCCTTGTGTTATTTAATCAAAGAAAACTAAAACACATTTGGGGTCAAAGGATTTGCTACAGGCCGTGCAAATGTGTGACTTCAAAAGGCGTTGGGCTTAAAAAAACAGTTTGAGATAAGAGCACAGGGGGTTTTCGGTAAGCAGGAAAGACTTTTTTTAAATCGCAAAGGAGGAAAGTAGCTGGGTGGGGGGTTATTAGCCCATCACACCTTTTAAAATACCTCTCTTTTTAAGGAGATTTTGACACTTTAACAGTGCGCGTTAACCCAAGCAATTGTTTTTCATTCATCATTTCGTCCTAATTTCCATTGCAAATTTTCACTCAATTCTTTTGCAAACGCCTACAAGATTCCATCAGCTGTGATAAAAATAGTGCAAATACTCAGTTATTCATAACAGCGGGCGCTATGAATGTGTCAAACTTTTTATCATGCATATAATTTCTCCACAGGCTTTTAATTATTCAAAGACAATAATGATTAGAAATATAATTATAAGATCAGATTAAGGTACAGCACTGTAATATTAATTTAGATCTTAAGTATTATTACTTACAGACACACAGATAAGACAGATAGATAGATAGAGACAGACAGATAGACAGCTAGATCTAAACAAGAAAGGGGTGAAGCCATTTGTCTTTGGAACCCCCCCCTCCAAAAAACAACAAAAAAAACAGGTGTGAGGGTGCTTTAAAACACAGATGTGAATCAGAAGCGTTTTAAAATTAGTGACGCGAGCCACAGATTTCATGATAAGTGCATGAAGGTTTATAACTAGAGTAAAATGAGTGAATCAGATTCAGCCTTAAAGACCAAAATGCTTTGAAACAGCAGATAATTCCGGTCCCCGAATTCGATTGGCCAAGCAGCCTTCCAAGAGTTTTATTGTTTTCTCTAACCCAGCATTGCTCGAACCAGTGTTTCTCTCACCAGTTCGGAAACTTTCACTTCAGTAAGGTCTCCGACCCACAACAGGTGTATTACCTATCTTTAAACTTTCCACTCCTATCTATATTTGTTGAAAGGGAAAACCTCTCAACAGATGTTCCCCTAAATTATAAAATGGAGCAAGCTTATTTTGTGCAGGTGGCATTGCAGAAACAATATGAGCGAGCGCTTTTCCATTACTCCATCTTTATCTTTTTTTTTTCCTTGAACAGAAGGTCAGAGGGAATTTGCTCAAAGTGCTCAGATTCAATGCCAACCAGGTCTGGCTAACAGGAAGAAGAACTAGTCCTCTGATGTCTGTGGGGGAGCTAAACATAATGTTTACCTTCCCTTGCCTCATAAGCAAGCAACCACTTTCTTGCAAGAACCTGCATGTGCACAAATCTATAAACACAGGCGCATGCACAAGCAGGCAGCCTCACACAACTGCTTTTACACAGGCACACATGCATACGTTTCTATTATCTTCTCTTTGTTCTTCATTCATGAGTTGGTTGCTCTAGCCCTTTTTTGGTGCCCCACCAGAGACAAGGGGCTTGTGTTATGCACAGAGAGGTCACAAGCACACCTGCTGTCTGTACGAGATGCTGTGCTACACAGGAAGTGGTTAGAGAAGTTTGGTTGTAATTTGTAGCAACAACAACAGTCACATGCTGGAATTTTTTGTTGTGCTTATGACAAATTCTTTATATATAATTTGAAACGTATAGTGAAAATGAAAAAGCATATATGTAATCAACCAGAGTGGTTTGGTAACATCACAATCTGAATGGCTAAAAATTGCTTTTTTAATCATCTGTCCACTGTAATGGACGTCACTAAACCTCAACGACTCTAGCACAAATATTTCATAAAGCGTGTCAAGCCACATCTTTTTTTTTCTTTGGGAAACTGGCCTAATGATTTGTTTTCACCACCATTTGGACGCATTGTTTTTATGCAAGACTGTCAGGAAGAGTTTAGCAGAGCTGCCAAACAAAGAAAGATGCGGTACGCAAAAAAAGCAAAAAAGAACCGCTGGGCCCCTCTGTCGATTGGCTCCCTGCTTCCGTCTGACCTCCACCCAGAGGAAAGCCACAAGGCTGCGGCTGATTGAGAAAGAGTAAACAAGGCTGCAAGTGTCTCTGAGGACACTTACTCAGCCTTACATGCACAAGCACAAACCATTCATGCTGCCTGGGATTTAATCACACCAGAGACTGTAATTCATTCATAGTGGTCTATATTTACATAATACATGTGATGCAGCAGACACAACCCAATCTGGATACTGTAAAAATCTGTTCATGTTTGTCTGTTCTATCAGTCTCTTTCCTGATATGTCTTGCTCGCAGCTGTCAAAACATGACCGGGATGTTGTCTTAGCTGCAGCTGTCCTCTTACCATGACTTTTGGGTGAGAATGCTGTATGAGCCCTCAAATCCCCTCCAGCCCCTCCCTCATCCTGCTTTGTGCCTTTTCATCTTGTGTCCTTTTTTTTTTTTGCATTGTTAAGTCCAAAGTTCTTATTCGGAATGACACAGCTGGATGTCTTTAAGCTAAAATTAAAAAAAAGAGGGCTTTGGCGTGTCTCCCCCCCCCTGCAGGCCAGAGGAAGTTACCACTGATGTGAGGACCACCAGGGTTGGGTATCCCTCACACAGACGGTCCCTCGGTTTCCTCGTCTGATTCGTCCACTTGCTGCGTCTGTTGCAGAAGCAGGACCTGGTTGTCCAAGCATGTCCTCAATTTGTCTTCGGTCAGAGTAAGACGCTCCTCGAGGACGGCAACGGTCTGAGAGAAGAGAATCAACAGTTAAAGTAGTGGTCACATTTCATGGCTAAAAAGGTTAATTTTTTATTATCAATAGTGTAGCTTTCAATGCAGTCAGTGCAGTTAATTTGTAAAAATCTGTATGAAAATCTTTCACCCTTACATGAAACTCCAGATTGAAATGACTGGATTTGACTAGAAAAACAAACTACATCTAATCTGATATGCTCTGTAGATCTAGAAAAATAGATCTAAGTTGACCTAAACCTGGGTCAGGATGTCTGTGGGGCAGCTAAAGATAACGTTTACCTTCCCTTGTCTCGTAAGCAAGCAACCACTTTACCATATGTGGGTCTTGCAAGAACCTACATGTGCACAAATCCATAAACAACAGGCACATGCTTGAGCAGGCAGCCCAACACAACCGCTTTTACACCGGCACACATGCATACGTTTCCATTATCCTCTCTTTGTTCTTCATTCATGAGTTGGTTGCTCTAGCCCTTTTTTGGTGCCCCACCAGAGACAAGGGGCTTGTGTTATGCACAGAGAGGTCACAAGCACACCTGCTGTCTGTACGAGATGCTGTGCTACACAGGAAGTGGTTAGAGAAGTTTGGTTGTAATTTGTAGCAACAACAACAGTCACATGCTGGAATTTTTTGTTGCGCTTATGACAAATTCTTTATATATAATTTGAAACGTATAGTGAAAATGAAAAAGCATATATGTAATCAACCAGAGTGGTTTGTAACATCACAATCTGAATGGCTAAAAATTGCTTTTTTAATCATCTGTCCACTGTAATGGACGTCACTAAACCTCAACGACTCTAGCACAAATATTTCATAAAGCGTGTCAAGCCAGTTTTTCTTTGGGAAACTGGCCTAATGATTTGTTTTCACCACCATTTGGACGCATTGTTTTTATGCAAGACTGTCAGGAAGAGTTTAGCAGAGCTGCCAAACAAAGAAAGATGCGGTACGCAAAAAAAGCAAAAAAGAACCGCTGGGCCCCTCTGTCGATTGGCTCCCTGCTTCCGTCTGACCTCCACCCAGAGGAAAGCCACAAGGCTGCGGCTGATTGAGAAAGAGTAAACAAGGCTGCAAGTGTCTCTGAGGACACTTACTCAGCCTTACATGCACAAGCACAAACCATTCATGCTGCCTGGGATTTAATCACACCAGAGACTGTAATTCATTCATAGTGGTCTATATTTACATAATACATGTGATGCAGCAGACACAACCCAATCTGGATACTGTAAAAATCTGTTCATGTTTGTCTGTTCTATCAGTCTCTTTCCTGATATGTCTTGCTCGCAGCTGTCAAAACATGACCGGGATGTTGTCTTAGCTGCAGCTGTCCTCTTACCATGACTTTTGGGTGAGAATGCTGTATGAGCCCTCAAATCCCCTCCAGCCCCTCCCTCATCCTGCTTTGTGCCTTTTCATCTTGTGTCCTTTTTTTTTTTTGCATTGTTAAGTCCAAAGTTCTTATTCGGAATGACACAGCTGGATGTCTTTAAGCTAAAATTAAAAAAAAGAGGGCTTTGGCGTGTCTCCCCCCCCCTGCAGGCCAGAGGAAGTTACCACTGATGCGAGGACCACCAGGGTTGGGTATCCCTCACACAGACGGTCCCTCGGTTTCCTCGTCTGATTCGTCCACTTGCTGCGTCTGTTGCAGAAGCAGGACCTGGTTGTCCAAGCATGTCCTCAATTTGTCTTCGGTCAGAGTAAGACGCTCCTCGAGGACGGCAACGGTCTGAGAGAAGAGAATCAACAGTTAAAGTAGTGGTCACATTTCATGGCTAAAAAGGTTAATTGTTTATTATCAATAGTGTAGCTTTCAATGCAGTCAGTGCAGTTAATTTGTAAAAATCTGTATGAAAATCTTTCACCCTTACATGAAACTCCAGATTGAAATGACTGGATTTGACTAGAAAAACAAACTACATCTGATCTGATTTGCTCTGTAGATCTAGAAAAACAGAACTAAGATGACCTAAACCTGGGTCAGGATGTCCAACTGCTGCACAATGTTCTCCAGAGTGCTAGTAAGGCTTGATGGGATACCCGAGCGCTCCTCTCTAGATGCTGTCATGCCACCAGCAAACCTTTCTTCTTGGTCTTCATCCTCCTCTTCTCTGTGTCGCGTATGAGTTCGACCTGGACCTGAGATGGGCTGATCTCTGCCGCTTGTTGCACTGTCATGGCTTCTTACATCCTAAGGAATGAGGGTACCAAAATTAAAATATCTGTTATCATTTACTCATGATGGTCCAAATCTGTATGGCATTCTTTCTTCTGTGGAACACAAAAAGAGGTGTTTAACAGAATGTCCCAGGTGCTCTTTTAACAATAAACACCTAAAAATAGGTCACATTTTTGGTCTGATCCTCGTACAAAGCTATTTTATGGCTTCACGAGACTTTTAAGGACTACTTTTAGCATTCTTTTTGTGGTTTTTGGAGCTCAAAAACATTGGTCTCCATTCACTTTCATTGTATTTAATAATGCACAAACATTATTTTTTTTTACAGAAACACCAAAACCAAAATTAAAGGTTTACCTTTAACTTTGGATTCCAAAACTATTTTGGGGCGAAACGGAAATTTATTTTTTTTGTTTCAGGCTGAATATTTTTACTTGCCAATATTTCAGTGCACGGTTGGTGGCGATAGCCTTATAGGCAGGGTGCCGATATATGACGCAGTGGCGCTTCAGGTGTCCCGAGTTCGAATCCTGCCTCGTGGACCTTTCCTGATCCTGACCCCCCATCCCTCTCCCACTCACTTCCTGTGAGATCTCCACTGTCCTATCAAGGACAGGCTTACTGGCCGTTAAGGAGGTACTTCACTGGGCCATAGGGTATATTTATGAGCTCCCTCAACAACACCGAAACCCCCCAACAACTCATTGAAATATCACTCTGTTACTCATTGAACACCCGGGAAATGGAGCATAATGACTGGATACTTGACAAGATCAGAGCAGCCGCTGAAGTCGTGTCTGGTCGGATATTCATTAAGAAATGGGAAGACCCCTTCTCAACGGTCTCCTCACAATAATATTGGCTCCTCATTAGCACTAATATTAGAACGATGTGTCCGTGCCGGTGAGAGAAATCGTCCTTCATTTGATGTAACCCAAGACTGTCCTCAAGGATAGGCACTAAAAGTCCAAAAATGGTTCGTTTTTATTTAAAAAAAAAAACATACGCCTCCTCTCACTGCCACTAAACCACTGACTGATCTAGTCTTGTGACAGAAGATAGAAGATTTTCCTTGTCACAGGATGCCATGTAATATCATTAAAGTGAGCTGTCTTGTACAAGGAAAAGTTTATTGATATCAAAGCAGCCACTCTTTCACCTTTTTCCACTCTTTTCTAAATCATTTTCAGTACCCCTACTCCATTTCTCTTTCCTTTAACAGACTTTCTGTGGATCAGAGGCTGGTTTCTGCCATGTTAAGTATCTGCTAAAGGCTGGCTAATGGGGTTTAAGCTAGTACCTGGCTCCAGTCGCTGGATGGATTAAGTTTCATATTAGCGTGCACGTGTCCTATGCTTCCTGCACTATTAACAGGGTTGATAGTATTAAAGTTGGGAAGGAAATGAGAGCTAAACCTACTTATTTCACCATTTCACTAGCACAGTTTGTGAGATAATCTGTGAATCCGAAACGGAACCTGAAATGCGCCTCAATAAGACTGTAAAAAATGTAGGATTCAACTTAGACTCTGAAGCAACTTAAAAAAAAAGGCAATCATACTTCACATTCAAAACCAATGCCTAAACATGCTATTGTTCAGTGTTTTTAGGTGAATATTTTTTCCTTCCTATATACACACACACACACACACACACACAGGTTTGTTTTTGTGAATTGTAGGGACATTCCATAGGCGTAATGGTTTTTATACTGTACAAACTGTATGTGCTGGGCAACTGCTTGTGCTATTTCCCTACACCTAACCCTTACAGGAAACTTTGTGCATTTTTACTTTCTCAAAAAAACTCTTTTTTTTTTCATGATTTAGAAGCGTTTTGAAAAATGGGGACATGGGGTAATGTCCTCATAAGTCACCTTCTCCTTGTAATACCTATGTCATACCCATGTCATTATACAAATTTGTGTCCTCATATGCCACAAAAACGCGCGCACACACACACACACACACACACACACACGTTTAAACCAGTGAATGATAAGCCGGTTGCATTACAGTCTGGATAGTCCATCATAGTTTAAAATCACTGCACCACTATGTCATGTTATCATATTTACACGTCCTATTTCAATGATTACGATGCCAGCTATTTTTGCAAGCCAACTCTGACACTTCTTTATGATACAGTGTATTTGACCCCTCATGCTGGCTGGACTAGTGGAAAAGTGAAACCAACATTTGTCACTTCTGAATGTAGGCCACATCCTGTCAAGGGACCGAGACCACAGCTGTCTGCAGCACCATGAGCTTCACACAGGAGGTCAGGTGATGGGTGAAGCCCAAAGGGGACCCGCTTTTGCTTTGGTGTGCATCGGTGCTCAGGAAATGGGATTTGAAACGGGTCTTTGTCCCTAAATGAGGAACACACACTTCCGAGATGAACACACACACGCGTGTACACGCAAACCCTGGCCCTGGGCTTCAAAAGCAGAGCTGTTTTGTTAGTCTTCCAGATGAAAAGATAGAAAACACAAAGCCGTACTGAAAGACTGGAATATCAGAGATGGCTCCTGCACGCTATGGTAGGGGAAGCAGACGCTTCCTTTTTCCCTCTCCGTCTGTTCTCGTATCAAACCACTCTTCACTCGCCCACACGTTGGCTTCAGGGTAGATAAATATCGGTTTTCAGAGATACCACAAAACTGCAGCATTTTATAACCAGCTCTGTGACTAAGTGGTTATGTCACATTTCGATTGTGACTGAAGTGTACGCTCTCATCGAGAACACACAACCAAACACTGCAATAAAACCCGCAGATCTCTGTCAGTACCCTCTCTTTCGCTCTGTGTTCACAATGAGTGCCGATACTGTCAGTGACCTGAAACCACTAAATGCCAAGTCCACAGGATATGATATAACTCGCTTATGCAAACCAGGCTGCACTGACGAACCTGCTTCATCAATCTGGAATAAAAACAATGGATTTAAAAACAATCAGACAGAATGATGTAATATCATTTGGGGATTCTTTGTAATTTATTAAATTAGAATTGAAAGCATGAATTCAACTGGCGGGACTTAAATCAAAAGCCCTCGTTTGAAGAAAAGGGGGATCCCTCTACAAAAACGGGCAAAGAGGGACAACGAATGCTGCGTTCTGACCCAATTCCTATCGGAGGTACAGTTTCAGATCCCACAGACTGGATGAGTCATCAGGCGCATTTGCGCACACACACATAAATGGTTCCAACCGCCCCAAAATCAGGTTGAAGGAGTCACAAAACCAAAAAATATGGAAAGCGAAAATAACATGTCTATAGGAAATACATGTTCATCAGATATACCGGAGGGCATGTCTTTGTGGTGATTGGGTATCAAGAAGGTTGGGTGACATTGACGTGAAGAAAGGCAGTCGTAAACATCAAAAGAACATCAATAACCTAATAAACTCTCTTAACAATCACAAAATTGGTAAATCAATAATTATTACTGATAATAATCAAAGTGATTATAATTATATATATATATATATAAATAAAAATACTATTAATTTATTAGTTTATTTATAGTAGTAGTATATAGTATATTTGTAATATAGTAAAATATTATAAAAATTAAAATTGTTTTCTGTGTGAATATGTTGTAATATGTAATTTATTCCTGTGACGCAAAGCTGAATTTTCTGCATCATTACTCCAGTCTTCAATGTCAAGTGATCCTTCAGAAATCATTCTAATGTGCTGATTTGCTGCTAAAGAAACATTTCTGATCATTATCAATGTTGAAAACAGTTGCTTCATATTTTTGTGGGAGCTGTGATATTTTTTTCAGGATTCTTTGATGAATAGAAAGTTCAAAAGAACAGCATTTATTTGTGTTTACTGTCTTTTTTGATAAATTTAAAGCAGCTGAATAGTCTTTGACCCCAAAGCTTTTACTGTTTTCCTTCGAAAGAATGAATACTTATACTTGATCTAAAGCCTGTGTTATACTTTCCGCATGCGTGAGTCCGCTAGGGTCCGCTATGGTATGCCTGATGTAAAAATCGTCATCGGAGAGTATGTGCGGACATCCGCGTG